TGGGGTATGATAATGGTATCATAGTTAAGTAGAAGGATGTCTTTGTTTTTAGGAAATACATGCTAAAGTATTTAGAGGTTGTGCAGCACAATGTTTGAAACATATGTAAACCCAACTGCCAAAGGAGTTTCCACTTCTGGGAAGGAGGAGAGTTAGAGTTAAATTCTGACTTCGTCACATGTTGTCTCTCTGACCTCAGGAGAGTACTGAAACTGCTTCAGTTTCTCATTTTTGCAATGGGATAATATCCTCTGTGCCAGAGGATTTCAAGAATTAAAGTTTAAATTTTATGTTAAAAAATACTTCATAAAGTTAAAGCATTATGTAACATTCACAAATAGAACTTTTCGTATCTCCTACATGAAATGCCATTCATTATTGTTAAATTTTTCAAATCTGACAGGGGGAAAGTTCTGAAAACAATTTAAATAATTAAGGAAAAAAGAATAAAAAAATCAAAGCCACTTGAAAATTGAATGGAATTAAAAATATTTCCTTACAAAATTTTAGGCTGTCTTATATTTGTCATTCTAAATCCTTGTAACATATCCTTTCTGTGCAAGTTAGCAAAATGTGTCAGTTACAAAAGTTCAGTCGAAGACCTTCCTCTAAAACATTCTGACAAAAAAATTATTGACTGTGGGAAAATGGCATAGTTATTCATGTTTCCCTCTAAGTGTCTCCTCTGGGCTTGGAAGCATCTGTGTCACTCCGGCACAAAACCTGCTCCCTCTGTAAGTATCATTTCTATTCTGTCTTCTCTATTAGACATGTTTTCTTCCTCAATGTTGTGTTTTTTGGTTTTTTTCTAGGCTTACTACTACTACTACTACTACTACTACTACTATTACAGTTTAGATTCTCGTCATCTTTTGGCTAAAGTGGCAGAATCACCACCCAGTTAATTTATTTCCACTACTATTTAATCTCTCTACTCATATAATTCATCCTATTCATCACTGCTAAATTGCATTTCCTAAAATTTTGCTTTTACCCTAATGAATATTTTCGAAAAAATACACGCTCTTCGAACTGGGTACAATCAGAGACTGCAGACAGAACAATTAGTTAGTGGAATGACGATGGGAATTAGTCTACAGTGTCCTGGGAAGATGACATCCCTACTGAAGTCCTGGCACAGAAAGACATTTAATACTAAGTTTATACTGATCTGTCAACTAAAGTCAGAGATCAGACCACAAAGATAATAGAGACTCAAATAAAAAGAGAGGCAAAGAACAAGACAATATATTTGATCATTTAAAATGCACAGGCATTTAAAAAATGATTAAAATTGATTCTTGAAACAGAGACTAATGGGTAAGTGCTTCTAAATGATAAAGATCTTACCTGGTAAAGACAGGCTGCTGTTCCAAGGAAAAATGCAATGATGTAATTAAAGTCCTCCCCATCACTCTGTACAAAGAAAAGAAGTGATTAATATTTTTCTAGTAGAACACCATCTCCACAAACAATGCACCAGTACAGGAAAATAACAATGTTTATGCACACATGACCAAAATTTTCACAAAATGATATGTAAAAACTCTCAAGAGACCTGAAATAGAAATATAAAATATATCATTATCAGACTGAAAGAGTAGGAGACAGAAGATTATAGGAGTTCTTCTCTTTGTTGTCCTCCCTCAACAATTTCAGTTCACCTAAGAAAAAATGAAAATCGATGGGAAAACATTCCCACATAAGGTAAAAGTCTTCCTTTTGCTACTTAAGAAACCATATAGAAATGCACAACACCCTGGAGGCCTGTAACATTACTTCTTCTCACTAGTGTAACTACTTGACTCAAATAAATATTGATAAGATTTACTATGTAGTAAACATAGCACTGAACTGTTCAATAAATTAATTTGATATGATTTTAAAAGCAAAACACAACTGTGAAAACAGGAAAGCTAATGTCCACTAGAGTGTGCTAAATCACAACAAGAAAAATAAATGTCAGTCAGGCATGTAATGGTATTAAAAAACAGGCACCCAGAGGAAAATCAAGAGGTAGATCATGCATAGAGTACTTCTTTTAAACCAAAACTAATGGAGGTCTAAAACTTCTCCAACCCTTGGCTTAGTGGTAAGGAGCTGCACAGCCCACCCAAAGGAATGCTGGTAGAATTCACAGCTGCTTAGCGGGAGAAAGACAGGCAGCCTCCTCCTGTGAAATTTACTGCCTCTGAAAACCACAGGAGTATCAAGTCAGTTTTGACTTCATGATATATAACAGCAACATTACACAACTTGGCAAGGTCTTATAATGTTACTTTCTTCTAGGTAGGAGCATTAAATTTGCTTTTCCTTCTTGTGTGTGTGTGTGTGTGTGTGTAATCTCCACAAAACACAGGAGTTATCTCTTACAAGCATGTGTTCATGAAATAGTATAAAGAGAAAATTCCCTTTGGAATTGATATTAGACAATAGGACTGACTATAAGAAAGGGAAAGTGGCTTATCCTACTGAGAAGACCTCAAAATAGGAAGCATTAATCTGTCTGGGACGCTTAGACCAGTTTTACTCCAGAGGTAGGGAAAGGCAAATGAAACCTATCCACTGTAATAGTTAAGACTTTAAACAAATGTTGCTTAATGATTTTCTTCTTTAGTCATTTATTTTAAAAATGATCTATTTTTCTGATTATAAAGTTCATCTTTCCCACAGAGAAATTTGTAAAATAAAGAATGATGAAAATTTACACAGGCTAGGATTAGGTCAGCTCTGGTGACACAATCCATAGGGAGTTGCACTACTATCCCAAAAGGCTGCGTGCCCTCTGATGGTTCAAATCCTCCAGTGGCTCCAAGGGATAAAGATGGGTAATCTCTTTCCACCGGACTTACTGCCTATGAAAATCCGCTAGAGGTTCAGCTACGGGTTGGTTCTGACTCTACATAATTGTGTCTGAGTTGTTTTAGACAACGCCATTATACCATGGAGAGGCATTACTAGCCCATTTTTAAGCCTATTCTAGATAGAAAAAGATCATATTCATGCACTGTCAAAAGGAAAAATAAGTATATCCTGGAAAAGGTGCAGCCAGAATGTTCCTTAGAGGCAAGGATAGTGAAGTTCCATCTCACATACTTTGGGTATGTGGTTAGGAGGGGTCGTACTTGGAAAAGGACATCATGCTTGGAAGCGTGGAAGGATAGCCCAGGACAGTAAGACCCTGAATGAGATGGACTGATAACAGTAACTAGGGTAATGAGGGTAGGTGTGTCAGAGACAGTGAGATTGGCTCACAATGGGACGGAGTTCAGAACTATTGTGCATATGGTTGCTATGTCATAGTCAACTCAATGGCACATAACAACAGGGGGACAACTAGAGAGTTCTGGTGGCATAGTGGGTAAGGAATTGTTCTGCACATATCAAGGCAGGAGGATCAAATCCACTAGCTGCTCTATGGGAGAATGATGGTCAATCTCCTCCTGTGAGATTTGCTGTCTCTGAAAACCCATTGGATTGTCAACCACAAGTTGGTTCTGACTTAATAGCAGTCAGAAAAAGAGAGAATGAAATTACAAGGAAGACTAAAGAAGAATTAATGCCCCTTTTCCCTTGTTAATGCCTTTCAACTGTGGTTTTGGCAAACAATGTTGAATAAACCTGGACTGACCAAAAAACCCCTAACAAATCTGTCTTGTAAGAAGTGCAGCCAGTGTTCCTAAGGGCTTAGGGTAGAGAGATTTCACCTCACATACTTTGGGCAAAATGTCAGGAAGTGCTAGGCCTTAGAAATGGAATCATGCTTGGAAAAGTGGCAGGTCTGCGAAGGAGAGAAAGAACTACAATGAGATAGAGTGACATGGCGACTTCAACTTCAGCAGAGTCTGAGAAACTGGTACAAGACAAAGCAATGTTTCAAGCTGTTGTGCTTCAAGTTGTAGTCAACTTGATAGCAACCAACAACAGCAAAAGTGGGATCTATATTTATATACTTATCCAAATAACTATGTTTAGTATTGAAGTCTGCCTCAAGAGAATGCTGACTACCCATTTGGTTTGTAGTCCTCATACTTTAATAAC